TTTTCCCCTTTGCTTGTTTATTTTGTTTCTTAAATTCCACATATAAGTGAAATCATATGGTATTTATCTTTCTCTGACTGGCTTATTTCACTTAGGATAATACTCTCTAGCTCTATCCACATTGTTGCAAATGGCAAGATGTCATTCATTTTTACAGCCAAGTAATAGTCCATTTATATGTACATATATGTAAACACACATACACCCACATCTTCTTTATCCCTTCATTAGTCAATGGGCATTTCGGCTGTTTCCATAATTTGGCTATTGTAGATAATGCCGCTATAAACATCAGGGTGCATGTATCCCTTTAAATTCGTATTTTTGTATTCTCTGGGTAAATACCCAATTGCTGGATCATAGGTATTTTTCCAAAGACCTACAAATGGCCCACAGACACATGAAATGTACCATCACTGATCATGAGGGACATAAAAATCAAAACTGTAATGAGATATCACCTTACACCTGTCAGAATGGCTGACATCAGCATAAGAGACAACAGGTGTTGGGGAGGATGCACTGTTGGTGGGGATGCAAGCTGGTGCAGCCACTCTGGAAAACAGTGTGGAGGGTCCTCAGAAAGTTAGAAATAGAGCTACCCTATAACCCAGCAAGCGCTCAGTAGCCACCTGTGGTTAGAGACTGCTGTACTAAAGAGCACAGCAGAATGGCTGAGCTGCCCCCTGCTAGAGTCCTACGTAAGAGAGTACGGCAGAACGTGGGAATAACCTGGATTTTCAGATAATAACCCGAATGACCCTTTTCCCAGCCTTGAACCATTTGAGAAATGGGTCTCTGCCCTCGGGCTAATAGTATCACAGTAATGTAGGCACCAAGAAATAGTCCCCATTAGTAAAGAGGTCATTCTTTAACAGTACTCAAGAGTTTTGGGAGCCCAGGAGTTTGTACCACCAGACTAGGAGATGGGGTTCCTCAGTGAGGCCTGGGGTGATGAGAAGAACATCAGGGTCAGGGAGCCCTGTGTTGGTGTAGGTTGCAGGTCCCTGCCCAAAGGCAGAGTGCAGGACCCCTATCCCTGGGGCTTCCCAGGCAGTCTCTCCAGCGTGATTTTTGCAGACTGACGCATGGCGGGGAGGGGACAGGACAGATGACTGCCGGATGATTCCTTGTGTTGCAGAGAGCAGATCAGTGCTTCTCCAGGAACCCCTGCCTCTCTGAAAATGGGGGGGGGTGGTCACTAGCACCGGGTGTTCCAGCACTCGTACATACTCCCACGTCTTTGTCTTTGCAGGTACTATGGATTATCTGTGTGGTTCCCTGATGTCATTAAACATCTGCAGGTGAACATGTTGCCCATTGAAAAGATCGAGAGAGAGAAATTTTCAAATTTCAGTGTTAACTTTACAATGGCAAATCAGTTGCACACGGGAGCGGAATACGACAATGGCAGGTCCAGAAACTTTGAAATAACTTAATTTGCTGTCTGTTCTGAAAAATGTCTTTCTTCTGAGCCTCCGCTGCATGGAAGCATGCACTGTTGTTTGCTTATTTTTTGGTTTTTTGTTATTTTAGTTTGTATGCTAGTCATTTTCAAACTGAATTTGAACACGTCCAAATGAGCTTTAAAAAAAAAGGTGTATGTGTATCAGTCCTTCGCTTAAAACTGCTTCTGAAAACGCTGCTTCACATTTGTGAAGTAGCGGAATTAACTGGTATGAAGAGAAAATTCAGAGAGACGCTGGAAAGCCACAGAAATAAGTCATGGAATAGAAGAGTGAGGAGTATGAGGAAATAAGATGGGTGATGGTGTTACTTAATTCAGAGAAGAAACCTGAAGTGTAACTTGATGCCTGTCTCCCACCCCTGAAAAAGGGAACCACTTTTCAGAAGCCCTTCCTTCTCCAGGAGGCTGAATCAAGAAGTGGCGCTACATTGTATCAGGAAGACTTTCCCTTAGAGAACAGGAATGATTCCCCAAAGTTCAGGGCTTTGAAAATACGGAATAAGTTAGCACAGGACGTTTTTGAAGATGGAATCTGGAATGCATCTTGATAAGGAGAGAGAACTGGCTCAGGAAGTGGTTCCAGTGCATTCTTTCAGGGAGGGAAAGGGATAGACAAGGCCATTTGTTTCTATCCGTTAGTTGTTTTCTGAACAAATAATGGCTGATGTGAGCTCCTGATGGTTTACATCATTCTTAGGAAATTGTCCCAAAGGCAGAAATGGTAAAAGTAAAAATTTTTTTAAAACTGAACAAAGTTCTGCAGGGCAAAACCACTTTGGAAGGATGAAAAAGAATTCTGTAGGATGCTTATGGTTTCTATAATGAAAGGGAGAATTATGAAGTAGGAGAGAATTGTTTAAATTGGCAGTTCCATGAGGGGCCTAATCCTTATGCAAGCCATGTAGGATCACCTTCACTCTCCCACATAAAATACCAACCAGAGTCTGTGCTTGTTTTTCCACGGAAACCTTAGAGTCCCGTGCTCGGTAATGGCAGGGTAAAATTTTACTTCATTTATTTTTAAAAGTATTGTTACTCCATTAGAAATGTCTGATATATTTGTGTCTCTGACATATTTTAAATGATGCTTATTAAAGTTCTAAACCGATTCTTCAGTCACCACTAGGAAATTTTTTACATTAGCAGTGTAAGGATTAGCCATTTTAATAGTATTAAAATCCCTGTAAAATATATATATTTATTTTAGAAGGTGATAGAATTTTTATTGATTTTTTGTTTGTCTTTCAGGGAAATGGGAATTGCCACTAGCTAACTCTTTTTTTTACAAAGAGCTTTCCTATTCAGTATCATAAAATGGCACCACTTTTCAATGCTGTGGTACTGATCTGGAATAGCCTCCAGGGTAGACTATCATGAAGCAAAGCAAAAGGTGTAGAATAGTGTGTCTCACTTGCTAGCACTCCATAAATAGAATGCTCCTCAAGAGCACACGAGAAACTGGCCACACTGGCCATCTCTGGGCAGAAGAACTGGGAGAGTTGAGGATGGCTGGGAAAAGACTTACTTTATCCTTTTTCAGTGTTTTCAATTTTGTACCCTGTGTACTCTGTGTACATATTATCTATTCATAAAAAACCTAAAATGGTTTTCCCTTTCGAAATTCAGTTCTGTTTCAGAAAATTGCTAATATTCTTAAAATGTGCCATTATTGGGGCACCTGGGTAGCTCAGTAGGTTAAGCGTCCGACTCTTGATTTTGGCTCACGTCATAATCTCAGGGTCGTGAGATCAAGTCCCACATCATTCTCCGCACTCAGTGTGGAGCTAGTTTAGAATTCTTTCTCCCTCTCCTTCTGCCCCTTCCCTGCTCACTCTCTCTCTCTCTCAAAAAAAAAAAAAAGTTCCATTAATTATCCTTCTTTAGTGGATAAATTTATGGTTTAGATGGTTTTACTCTGGACCCTTGGAGTAGAGGTTGAAATAAGATTACTTTTTAAGATGGTGGTGTGTTAGGCCACAGTGTGCCTTGAGCTGACGAATACAATCAGGCATTAAGGTGAGAACAATTTTGAAAGTACTAAAGAGTATATAGCTTTTAAGTCAGTCAGCTTGCTTGCCTGGGAGACTCAGACCCTTTCTGCCCCAAGTGGTATTTGGTGTAATAACTTATTCCCCAGCTGAACAAGCATTTTCATATCAGTGACTGGCTAAGTATACATTCATGGTCTCTTAATAACTTACCGAGACACAGTATGACTATTGATCCCTGTCTTCTGGGAGTCCTTATCAACACAGACAGATCTGAGTCATAGACTCTTTTAAGATGTTAGGATCATCACGACTATTATCATCTTCACCATCTAGAATTCCCTCCCCCCCGCCCCGCAGCACCCAAAAAGGTATCTGAGCAGGTTTCATCATTCTACACTTTCAAAAGAGCAAAACTCTCTCATCACTCTCCCTGGTTCAAGCAATACCTGTTGGCTTTGAGAAGAAAAATATTCATGGAAATGAGAATGACTGTGAGTTTTTCTTTCTATGAGCCCTGAGTTCATCATTCCTCATATAAATGAAGCAGAATTCTCATGTTGTCTCTTCAGAATAATCAGAAATCCCTATAGGAGAATGAAGAAGCCTTGAATTTTTAGCTTAGAAAACAGACTTCCATTAAAAGTGAGCATGGGAGCACATTCCTAAGTTAGAGCCATTAACCTCAAATAGAGAATTTTCAAATAAAGGCATATGATCAAGAGCAAGAGGATAGGATTAAAAATAAGGAATCGGTAGCCACAGTTAATCTCCAAACTCTCCACCTTCAATAGCATACTCCACAAAGTCTTTCACCAACATTGCAAAGCTAAATGAAGTTATCTTGAATGCCAGCTCTTCTGCTGGAAAATAATATCGGTGAGCCAGGAGATAGCCAAAGGACAGGCTGCATGAGGAAGACGGGAAGCTAAGAGCCTAGAAGATCCAGAGACTAATGTCTTTATGGAGAGTCCATGTGGGGCATCAGATTTCTAAACCTGTTCGACTTCACTTTGAACCCTGATGGACACAGTCATTGATAAGAATTTTTCTGTGTGTTTTTTGGGCAGATTTCTAGGGATGAAGTTCAAATCTGTTACTTTCAAAGATTCACTTTTTAAGGCCTGCCTCTTTGAGGATGTGACTTCAGTCAACACCTACTTCAAGAACTGCACATTTATTGACACTGTTTTTGACAACACAGGTAGGTGTGCTACTTAGCTGTGCCTGGGGCCCCTTTAAATGGCCCAGTTCTTGGCAGAAACGTGATACCCCTGTGATAGTGTGGGCAGAGGCGCTCGGGGAAGGTAGAAATTGAAGTGTAAAGGAATGGATTTCCTTAATCAGACTGGATCATAGTTAAGCTTTTATTATTTGTCTCTGTCAGATTTAATGCAAATGGGACTTGCTGAAGTTCCAGGTTAAAATAAAAAAATCCTGAGGCGCCTGGGTGGCTCAGTTGGTTGAGCGTCTGGCTCTTGATATCAGCTTAGATCGTGATCCCAGGGTCATGAGATTGAGCCCAGTGTCAGACTCCGCACTGAGCATGGAACCTGCTTAAGATTCTCTCTCTCTCCCTCTGCCCCACCCCCACCCCCCTGCTCATGTGTGTGCACAATTTCTCTCTCTCTCTAACAAAAAAAATCCTTTGAGTAATTTTTTAAAGGGATTTTATTTATTTCCTTGAGAGAGAAAGAGAGCACAGGTGGGTGGAGGGGCAGAGGGAGAAGCAGACTCCCCGCTGAGCAGGGACCCTGACACCGGGCTCAATCTCAGGACCCTGGGATCATGACCTGAACCAAAGGCAGACGTTTAACCGACTGAGCCACCCAGGCGCCCCTCCTTTGAGTAATGTTTGAAGAAAAGAATCACCCTGTAGTTTGTTTGTTTGTTTGTTTGTTTATAATCCTGGCTTCAAAATTTGATGTCCACTTAAGTGATCATGCCTGAACTGCAGCGAACAGAGATGGACAACGCATGGCTGTGTTTAATCAGATAGTTTTTTGGTGCAATCCTGGTAATGGAGTTTGGAAAACTCCCCAGGGGAAAAGAGGGGCAGGGGGAAACTGATTGAGCACCTACTATATGCTGGTTCCTACTCTCCGTCATTAGACGTTATCTCATTTGGTGAGATAATAGTGGAGACTTGGGAAAATTAAGCAATTTGGCCACATTCTTAGACCTGGTAACAGCTAACAGTTTTATCTGATTGCAGAGTCGTTGCTTTCCCACCCCTACACTCTGGTGTGTCTGTCCTCTGAGTCCAAAATAACAGCCCAGCACTGGCAGGAGTATGACCCTACCTTGTTGCCAGCTAGTGACCGTCCACTAAGGGCAACTCTTACTCCTTTGTGCCTTCCTCCACTTTGACCCCAACTTCTACATTCAGCCTCAGTGGGCCCAAGGAAAGGCCTGTTCCTTCTCTTTGCCTCCAAGTCCCATAAAATAGCAGTGACAAGGCTAATTCATCCACATTTTGAAACAAATTGTTTTTGTAATTGTGGTATGAAAGCTATTAGTACTATAATGATGGTACTTATGTAACATGATAATTAGAACAAAGTAACATTATAAAGAAGGAAGCAAGTAATGTAATTAGCGATGGCCAACCATAAAAACATCAGAGGATAACGGGACTCTTTAACGTATTCTTTTATTCAACTTGTAATGTGAGGTTCTAGACTAGCCCCTGTGCTTTGGCCAGGCCCTGAAGCCCTCAAGTTTACAATACCATGTTTCTTTTCTGAAGTCTTGACTGGCTTTCTTAGACTGGTGCACAACTATAGAGAGCTTGATGAATTGTCTTTGTGTCCACAGATTTTGAGCCATATAAATTCACTGATAGCGAATTTCAAAACTGCTCATTTTTTCACAACAAGACGGGATGCCAGATTACCTTTGATGATGACTATAGTGCCTACTGGATTTATTTTGTCAACTTCCTGGGGACATTGGCCGTGTTGCCAGGGAACATCGTGTCTGCTCTCCTGATGGACAGAATTGGGCGCTTAACGATGCTAGGTATGTACTTGGTTTCATGTAAAATAAAAGAGCTGCGCTTGCCATCTCCAGGGAGCCTGGTTCCCACTGTATTCCCTGCCCCCTTAGGGATTTGCATCCCACAGAGATGAGGAGAAATCCCTTAAGACCTTTCATTAGGACTAAATTTCAGTGAAAATTATGTCTGATTACATTTCATTTGAGGTGCTTCCATGAGTTAACAGACTGAAGAACTAATTATATGTGACTAATGTATATTTTTCCACTTAAGTAGCTGAGTAATTGACGATGTGCATTTCCTGCTTGCTGTGTTCAGAAGGCAGTTGGGGAGGCAAACCTTTTTACAGGTGAGGTTACCTGTACCACTGAGGTTTTGGAGTCCAGGCCACGGCCTCCCCTTGGGATTCAGTTTTGCTGAGAGATGTCGAAGACCCGAGGATCCTTCTCTGCTAAGATGGTGGGAAACGTGGCAGCCTTTTGTTGGCTTCTTTGGCAGGTGGCTCGATGGTGCTTTCGGGGATCAGCTGTTTCTTCCTCTGGTTGGGCAGCAGTGAGTCCATGATGGTAGGCGTGCTGTGTCTGTATAATGGATTGACCATTTCGGCCTGGAACTCTCTGGATGTGATCACTGTGGAACTGTACCCCACAGACCGCAGGTATGTTGAAATGGGCCTCTAGGAAGAGGCACTCTGGGCTTCTTGGGGCCACAGAGAGGTCATAGAAAAATAAGCCAAACTGTCATTTCCCAAAGGAAGTGAAAATCCAAAAAAAATACCTGGTTTATGAGGTTGTAGTTTTCACTCATACCTTTTAAAAAGAAAACGTCAGGGAATATAGTTGCTAGCAGGAATAAGTAATCAGGCAGTGAAACTAGTGAAGGGATTTAATTGTGTCCATGACTTAGTTTGTTGGCTGACAATATGAGCAACCTGTAACGCAGTTGTGAGGAGTAGGATTTAATAGCCTCTCTTGGACCACATTTTCAGCTGCTAATCAGTCCTGAGAGGACTCTTACCTTCCTTTTCAAGTGTCTGCATGAGCTTTGTATTAAGCAACCACAGAGAAGTCTCTAGACCATATCTCTTGACCTTCCTGGTCTGTTGGAGGAAAGCCCAAGATATTTCCAGTTACAACAACAACAACAACAACAACAAAGATTCCTATTAGAAGAAAGTTATGCATGAGTCTCAACATGAAGGTAAAAAGCATCTTATATGAGAGAAAGGACTAAAAGATAGACTTTTGGGGTCGAGCTGTAGCAGCTGAATAATTAAAAGAATAGAAGCCCTGTTTTCCCATTTGACATGAGCAAAGACAAATGGCCTTTTCCTTCTTTTATTTTGTGTATACTTTGTCACCATGGGAGCCTTCTCTGCTGAGGGATGGGGTCAGTATCTTCTGAACTTTGAAATGCAGGAGGGATTTTCCTAGGATTATGCAGAGGCATTTGGGGTAAGAATTTTCAACATTACTGACCGTATAGGAACGTTATAGGAACTATATACCCATCTCCTGCAGAACATCTCAAACTCTTATGGATCTGTCCTTATCCAGTGTTCTACTAGACCCTCAGTAACCTCCTGTTGAATATTTAGGCTCTGAAAGGAACCATATACTCCACATTCAGCATCTCCTTCATTCATTCAACAAACATTAATTCTCTGCTGTGAGTGAGATCCTGAGGTGGATGCCATGGGCCTTGGGATGAGTGTGCTGCCAAAAAAAAAAAAGAAGAAGAAGAAGAAGAAAGAAAGAAAAAAAAGATTAAGACTCTGCAGTATCCACTGAGCATTCTTTTATCAACCTCTCTTCCTGCAAACTGGGCCCAGATGTGGATTAAACTATTCATTTAAAATAAACCCCTTAATGTTAAAGCAACACTATGGCATAGCCGGGTACCTTTATGTTACACGTGTAAGAGTTTGATACTATTTTAGATGAATCAGCTGCTTATCCCTCTACTGTAAGGGATGGAAGGATGAATATTCTTCTATGGCAAAATCTGGCTTAAAAAACAAAAAGCAAGAAACAATGATTTGGGCAGGTTCCTCCGATGAGAAACATGGACCTGCTATAATTCAACAGATTTTGTTGGTAAAAACAGAAATTGCTGTTTGTGTTTGCTCGGGTCCTCTGAGAAGCAGAGAACAGGACGGAACTAAATGTGGGTGCAGATTTTAGTAGGAGACGTGGCTGTGCGAGAGAAAACAGGGAGGGAGGTGAAGTCTGGGAGAGCTGTAGGCACCATGAGAGGGGTGCCTTATGAATAACTGAAGGCGTGCCTCTCACTCAGGTTTTAGGAGCTAGGAACCAGGACAGAGACCACATGTATTGCTTAGACCACACCTTTCCACTGTGTCAATGTCACTATAATTCTTCAATCCTCAAAATCTCAGCATCAAAGGAAAGCATAACATAATGATTACCTGATGACATTTCAGCTTTTCTCCCAGGTTAGATCACGGACAGTTATGGCACATGATAATTTGAGGGGCACAAAAGGGGGTAGAAGGACCCTCACAAACACATTTTAGTGGAGTCCTTATAAGATCCAATTTGTTTATGGAGATGTGAGGGAACCCATTTTTTGGAATAGAAGCTTAGGGAAACTTTTTAGTATATTCTTTGATACTCTCTCACACAAAATATATGGTGTCTTTTCCAACACCAACCAGTTCTCCAATTCTGACACTACGCGGGGTTGGTATCAGATCCTACAAGTTAAAGGGCTCAGTCCCACAAAACCACCCCATTTCAGATGCGCGCTGCAAATGGGGTGCCCAGGCAACTGACACTTCTGCCCAGCCAACTACAGATTTGTGAATTTCCACAGCCCCGAACAGGTTTGATAATGGACTAGATAAAGAAGTACCTAGGGTGAGCTACAGAGGAGTCCGAAGTGCCTGAGCCTCCATGTTCCCATGGAGTTAGTTAGGATACACTACCACCGTCCTTACAGGTGAATGCATTCACCAGTCTGGAAGCTCTCTTGATTTATAGAGGTTTCATTATGTAGGCATGATTGATTAAATCCTTGGGCATTGGTGACTGAATTTAATCTCCAGCACCTCTCCCCTCCCTAGAAGTCAGGCGTGAGGTGGGAGGCTGAAAGTTTCAACTCTCTCTTCACATGGTTGGTTATTTCCAGAGACCAGCCCCCATCAAGAAGCTATCTAGGAGCCCTTCAAATTAAAGTGGAGATGATATGAAGTTTTCTGTTATTATGCAGAAAGGCTAAGATTTTAAAGACTGATACAACCCAGTGTTCCCTGGAGCGGATGAGGGTGGCATTGCTGCTCAGAAGCTGTTAGGGGAATTCTGAAAACATGTACAACATGTAGAGAGGGGGGAGTCTAGCAATCTCAGTGTTTTCCCCTATAGATGAGGGGGTGTTTCCTTTGGCTGCTTTCAAGATTTTTTTCTTGGTCTTGGTGTGGATTTCTTTGGGTTATTATGTTTGAGGTTTACTCAGCATCTTGAATCTGTAGATTTGTGTCTCTTGACAAATTTGTAAGACTTTCAGCCATTATATATTTGAATATTTTTTCTCTTCTTCTGCCTGAACTCCAGTGACATGAGTATTAAATCTTTTGTGATAGTCCCAAAGGTCCTTGATGTTCGGTGAATTTGTTTTCAATCTCTTTGCTCTGTTTTTCTTATTGGAAACTTTCTATTGTTCTCTTCCAGTTCCCTGATTCTTTCCACTGACTCCTGCATTCTGCTGTTGAGCCTAATCGCTAAGCTTTTTTTTTTTCTATTTTTTCTAGATGTTTTCTATATTTTATGTGTTTCAAGTGTGTTCATGATTGCTCACTGAAGCATTATTATCATGACTGCCTGAAAACCTTTGTCAGAGGGCGCCTGGGTGGCTCAGTTGGTTAAGCGACTGCCTTCGGCTCAGGTCATGATCCTGGGGTCCCTGGATCGAGTCCCGCATCGGGCTCCCTCCCTGCTCGGCGAGGAGCCTGCTTCTCCCTCTAACCCTCCCCGCTCTCATGTACTCTCTCTCTCATTCTCGCTCTTTCAAATAAATAAATAAATCTTTAAAAAAAACCAAAAAAACCTTTGTCAGATAATACTAACATCTCTGTCATCTCTAGGTTGGCATCTCTTAATTGTTTTTTCTCAGTCTGTTTGAGATCTTCCCAGTTGTTCTTAGGATGCGTGATATTCAATTGAAAAGTCATTTTCCTATTATGATATGAGACTTTATTTTTTTTTATTATGTTATGTTAGTCACCATACAGTACATCATTAGTTTTTGATGTAGTGTTCCATGATTCATTGTTTGCTTATAACACCCAGTGCTCCATGCAATATGGTATGAGATTTTAAATCTCTTGTAAACCTTTAGTTTCTGGACACCTCCCTGTGGGAAGAAAAGGGTACAGTGCTTTATTATTGCCTGGTGGAGGTAGATATCCAGTGTCCCCACTCAGCCTCTGTTGACACACAAGAGCGGGTGATACCTTCATTCATGTTGGCCAGCAGTGGGAGTCCAGGCTCCCCTCACGATCATGATACCATGGAGGGAAAGAAGGGAGAAGGGAAGGAGCTCATCACTGGCCAGCAAGGATGAAACTCCCTACTTAGCCTTCCCTGATACCACTTCGGTGGTGATATGGAGTCACCACATCACAGTTTTGTGAGGGTGGAAGTCTAGGCTCTCTCCTAGGCTTTTGCTGGTATGGCTGGCATTTGGGCTATAATTTTTTTGGTGTTCATTTGGAGGAGAAAGATTATTGTCTAAACATTTTTTGTCTTTCTAGGCTGCCCCTACCCTGGTCCTCTGGCTAGAGAGAACAGGGTTTGCTGGGGCTTTTTAAATAATCTGTTGCTGACGGTATTTCCACATTGCCATCTTCTTCAGTTCCGAGACTGAGATCAATGGAGCAAAAGAAAATGCAGGGAACTCACCACTCCTAAACTCAGATTTGTCTGAGATCAGTGGAGCAAAAGAAAATGCAGGGAATTCACCTACGGTCCCTGGCATCTCTGCCTTTTTTCTGTCTTTCAGAGTCTTCTTATGTTTGCTTTTTAATATCCAGTATTTTTAGCTGTAGTTAGTGGGAATGCTCATGAAAGTATGACTACTCCATCTCCATATGAATTTTAATATTGTTTACTTATTCATTCAGCCTTTTTTTTTTTTTTTTTGAGTGCCTGTGATACAACCATGAATAAGCCATTTGTGGTCATTACTCTCACAGAGTTTGTGGACAAGTGAACATCAGGTATAATAGAGTGAGGTGTCAGGGTCATTGTGAGGGAAGTACATGGTGTTGTGAAAGCAGAGAAGAGGGCTTCTTGAAAGAAGTGCCATCTGAGCTGAGACCTGAAAAACAGTAGGTGATAGCTGAGCAAAGAGATGGAGAAAGAACATCTCAGATGACATATGAAATACTATCTGAAAATTTCTGGAGGCTAGAGTTAACAGAGGTAAGCAAGGAACAAATCAGGAATGATCTTGTAAATTGCATCATCCTATGGGCAATGGGGAGCCCTTGAAGTATTTTAGGAAGAAGAGGGACAAGCTCAGAGAAGGGCTAGAAGTTTACTCTGGTGGCCAGAAAAGAGGCAGGAGGACTGATTAGGACGCTGAAAATAGTGATGTGAACCGGAAAAATGTGGGTGGGAAAGGAGCTAAATCAACATT